AAATCCGAAAAGGCCGGTAAATTATTTTGTAATTCGAGCAACTTTTAAATGTATAAGATAGGCAATTACAGCGAACCCAACCCAATAAAGTTACTCGTTTTTTTTCAATTCTTCATAAGCTATAACTCATTGAATAAAGCGATGAATATTGAATAGATAAACTATACCATTTTTATTAGAATTGAAAAATCTTTCAAATTATAAAACGTATTTGTTGTGTTTTGTGCTCCTTTAAATTGCGGTGACTGTCTGCAGCAGGCCAGCAGCAGCTACTGTATTTTGGAGACCATTGTCAATTAATTACGACCACCACGTTAATTTCAGAAGCTGTTATTGTGTTCACTGGAGGTTTAGTACAATAAGTACATTTGACGATTCCTTTTGACTTTCGATAACAATAATATATTTATTTGTAGAATAAAAGTAGACATAATAACCAGTTATGGCAATTAAAGATAATTTTTAATGCATGTATGTAATTAAAAAAATAAAGCACTATCAATTTAACGAGTTAAAAAAATCGAATAGGTACAATACAAAAAAAACTAATAATATACTATTTCTATTAATTTGATTTTTTTTTAAATAATGATCAGTTTTTAAAATGTTTTCATAAATCGTATCTTTATTAAAATCCGATAGGCAGAGTGACTAGTCAATAACTTTATTTTACCATTAGATTTTAGGAATAATGTCATTGTCCATAGACAACTTCTTATACATTCGGCTATAATTTTGTTTGTAGTTTGTTGTAATTCATATTTCGTTATCATTATATTGTTTTACGTTTGTATATAAAATATCTAAAACAATTTCACTCGTCCACAAACATAATATTGTCACGTTATAATTAGCAACAGCGTGGGCCATGGTGTCAATTTGAATTATGTGTCATCGAAGTGACGTCCATCGTCTAAAATCTAAATTAGTTACGAAATTATCCAGACTAGAAAGAGTAACCATATTACTATTATAATTTGTAGTACCTACCTATTTGAGTTGCCTAATCGAAATTAAAATAATATATTTTTTTTAATAACTATTTTAAAAATTGAATTACTAACTTCATTTAATTTTCAAATATGAAATAGTTATATAAGTTTTAATGCTCAGGTAGAATATTTTATTACTTTTATCACAAACAGTAGTTACATACTGGGTGGGCGGTGTTAACGAAACAAACGGCGTGACACGCGTACTACGTATACATAAAAAAGATATATTATATTAATATATAATATTTTGGCTTAAAAGATATTTATGTTTTCGAATGTAGGTTTTATAAACAACAGTAAACTAACAATTTTTATTTTGGAAATAATAACAAAGGTTAAAACATAACTTTGATCACATTTTATTGAAATAAAGTTTTACAATACCAAATATGTCTCAAAATTGTTCTAATAAAAACGAGAATAGACTTTTAAAGTTAACCGTCAGTAATGATCAACTAACTCAATTACACGATTCAAACATACTAGAAGACGATAAAAATATTTTAAAAAAGGTTACTTCTTTGAATACCAGCAGAATTGAAACCAAGCAAAAAAACAATACTTGTCAAAAAACCTACAAAGTAAAACTTACTAACTACAAAAAACAACAGACGGCGTTTGCTACAGCATATAATGAGTTAAAGATGAGCTACGAATCGATCAATAAGTTTAAAAAGGATTTATTATCTGATAACAAAATGTTGGAATTTGAAGAACTCGAAGAACTAGAATATATAGTATATACGATTTATTTTTACTAAATTAGTTGTGCATGCCATGTACTATATGATAATATTTGTTATATCCTTTACATTCTCTTATATTATTTCATGTTTATACTTTTATAGGTTCAAAATACTCTACAAGACAAATTTGGAAAAACATTCTCGAAACCGGAGGCTTCATTTGAAAAAGATCATGCCGTTTTTGTTTTTAATCATAATAAACCATTAATGTGGCAAGACATTAATTCTACAACTGGTTATCAAAAGTTAGACTTATCAATAAAAGAAGCATATAAACATGTATGGGATAATTATTTAGCCGTATCTGAAAGGAATATGGAGTATCATTTTTACCTTCAAAATATTATTGAACCAAATGAATTCTATGATTTACACTCTGTTAGAAAATACTTAATTCAAAATATATTTAATAAAGAACAGACTCCTAAAAAATTAGAAACAAAATTGAATGATTTTTATAATAATTTACAATTGAAATTTATGAATATAATAAGTGAGGCTGTTGATATTCTTAATTCAGAAAACAAAGTTATTAAAATAAATGAACACGAAGAATTAGAAGAAAATGCAGAAATTAAACTTCAGATGGCTATTGAAGAGCATAAACATAAAATGGATATCAAAATAAAAATGTTAGAAATGGAAAATGAGAAGTTAAAACAAAAGGAGACTGAATGTTCAACACAAATAAGAACTTTGTTGGGAGAACTGGCATTTAGAAACAGTAAATTGAATAATGCTAATGACCGTGTAATGTTGTTAACAAAGGAAAAAAACGATTTAATTTCTATGATTCAAAAAATGGAAGTTAAAGGTGATAGTTATCATACACTTCAAAATAAAATTGCAAAAGAGCAAGAAAAAAATCAAAATTTGAGAACTATTTTAGAAGAAGAATTTGAAAAAACGGATATTAATTTTTTATAAAATAAAACTCATCTAAATAACTGAGTTTTAATGTAAGTGTCTAAACAAATATTTCTTGAAAATATATTATAATAGCTTAAAATAACTCTATATTTTATATTATATACAACAGTATTATCGTATGTGCCATTGTACCTATATGGTTGTTAAACTTTTTTTTATCCTGTTTGATCGACTCCGGGGCAACTGATTGATACCAGGTGGACAATACTTTACATAACTTAAATAATATTTATAATAACCACCTACTGGCTGCTACGTCAGCCATGTTAGAAAAAAACAATATTATTAAGCAAATATGCAATGATTTACAAAATTACTAGTAGTTACTTATATTATTCCCTAACACACTAATGATACTTGTCATTGTAAATATGTATTTGAATTAAAATATAAATATATGTTACTGATAAAACAATGATTAAGTATACAGAGGATTTATGCAATGAAGATAACTTGCCTTTAAGTAGGAGCATGATATTTGAAGTGGGATTTTGACAAATTTCAGAAAAACTCTTATAAAAAAAAAATAGTTAATGTGTATTTTCAAGATTTTAATTGATATATGGAAAGCTTATGAGGAACCTTGTAAGTTACTAATAAATATTGAATAATTGTATATGATAATTTCAAATATATAGGTAATGTTAGTCTGTTACTGATAAAATAATGATTAAGTATAGAAGATCATCAATAAAGATATACTGCCTTTAAGTAAGAGCATGATATTTGAAGTGGGTTGCAGAAAAATACTTCATAATATAATACGTTTATACACCAATAGTCCAAAAAAAATATTTGCCTTCAATTTTTATTCGAACCCATATTATTAGAAATATGTACCTAAGTACCTATAATAATTAATAACTTAAACATCATATCGATAATGTAAAAAAATACTATACTATACACAATTACACCAACCAACTTTTTCAAGATTCAAGATCTAATCTTAAATTTAAAAAACAAAAAAGGAGGAATCTAGGTAACTACTCTGCAGTACAGTAAAAATCGAGGGTATCTCGTAATTTAGTAGGCCACTATAATGGAAGTATTCATTTTAATTAAATAGTAAATAATTGCATACGAAAAATTATTCTGAGGCTGAGACGATTGTTCAGACTAGTATCATATATTAGTATTGAAAAGTAATTATTAGTGTAAGTACTAGGTATGATATAAACTAAATAGGAAATAGCAGAAATTAATCTAAATGTTTTAAAAACTAACTGTGTACATAAAATAGTTATAAATAAAGCAAAAAAAGGATTTCAAATTCCATATACAAAATATATTCTTGTGTTACGACATTAAAATAACTAAAATAATTATTCTCCGTATAAATATAGACTTTTGTCCAAATTTCAACTTAAAACATTTTTTGTGATTTTGACTAATTTTGTAAAAGTTTTAACTTCAAATGCTAAAAAAACAGTACTTATGTATCTTTATTATTTTTAGACCATTAACTATGGTAAACCATTCGAAAACATTTTATCGGTAGGTACACGAGGTTATAGTATATAGGTATAATATGTATATATCACCTATTATAGAAAAATTAAACAAAAAAGAATCGTAAATGTGTCAACTATTTATAAGTAGCTTAGGTAGCTCAAAACGACTAAAAACGTTGAACTAAAATTTTAAGTAGGTACCTACATATCTATCCGGTAATCATTCGGTTTTTTGTTACACCAAAATAACATAATCAATTTAGTCGAAAACTGGGTTGCATAAACAATTATTTTTTCTCCGATTATTTCGATAAATACTGATTATAATACATTTTGATCCACCCTCTTGGATAATAATGGATGTATGTTCCTACTACTTTTCGTGTGTAAACACAAAAAATAACACACACATCACTGTAAAATTAATTAATTCATCGCTCCACTCAGAATCTAAAATCCTACTTAAAACTATTTTATTAATTTGATTGCTTAATAATTATATACCTAAGCATTAAAAATTAAAATCAAAGATTTTTATAATCAAAAATATATAGTATAACTAATCACCAGCGAGGACTAGTCTTTCATTGAAGTTAAGTTTAATTAAAAATAAAATAATAATTTATAATAAGTATATAAATATATAATGTGTTTCTAATCTAAACATAGTTATTAAAAATTCATGTTGTTCGAAATGAGTATTATTCAACTTTTATTGAGTGGCATGTTAAGTGGGGTTGGGCAATTCATAAAATAAATATTATAACACTTACGATCAAATCAAATCAACAAAACAATAAAATTCAACCAAAATAAGAATATTGATGAAAATTATTTAAGTAACCAAATATATATTATGCCTGCCAATGATTTTTCTATAATAAATCAAATTTATAATTACTTTTCATTTCAGACTTTGGTACGTCGAACACAACACTGCTCATTTTCTGTTCTCCAGTTGGTGGTACAAGGAACTTATCAGTTGAGCTCATTCTTTTTAACCAAATGTTTTCCTAAAAAAAAAATTTTATATTTTAAAGATAATATTTCTATATACCTCTAGAAATTATATAATATTCCTGGTAATCAACAGAAATCAACAAAAAACACAGTTAGGCACTCACACTGTTAGGGAAAGTATAATGCGAAAGTTCCTTCAAAATTAGCAATGAGACAAGTCCCCCCAAGATAAAATTATTTTATCTTTTTTATATAAAAAAAATTATTCCAAAGTCATATACAAAAATAAAAAAAACTAGCACTTACTACTTATAGAAACTAGCGCTAGCTAAACACAGTTAATAAGAAAACACCAAGGAAGTCTGTTGTATGGTCGGTTTCGATTGTGGTTATAATATATATGTACCTAGCTTTTACATGGTCAAAAAACGTGTGTTAAATTTGAATTCCATGATAAATTATTGCATACAAAAAACGATTCCTGTGGAGACGAAGTCTATCTATTATAAAGGATAATTTAGTTATCATACATTACATTAGCAATGGCTATTGGAATAATTATCGTACTTATTGATTATTTATATTTTTATATAACTTATAGTATTACGTCCACCGTGATTAACTTTTTTTTTTAACTGTACCTATATTTAGATAGTCAGATAACTGATAAGCACCTGCAGTGGTAAGTATATTAAAAAACTTATAAGCTAAGAAAAACTTATATTAAAATAATAATAAAATATTATAATATTATACAGGGTGCTTCACCAAGAATGCATCCTCTTTTTTCTTAAATAACTCAGTTATTCAAAATCTGATTTTTGGAATTTTTAAATATACACTAAACCAGGTGTGTCTGGGGGGGCTGGCTCCCTAAGAAATTACAGTACTAGATACTAAATACTAAATCCAGTTTTACGTCTATTTTATATTTATGTAAAATCATTTTTAAGGACTATTATCTTTAATAAAAACATTTTTAAAACTAAAAAACTACTCATTTGAATTTTAAATTAGGTACCTACATACAAATTTTCAAAAAAAATATCCACTAAATAATTAATAGTAACTATAAAGGAGGTTCTTACTTGAAAAACAGGAGTTTGTATTGCCACAAGATGCTCCTTAAATAGCACAAAAAAATTCAAGAATTTGAAAATATGGTCTATGGACTATGAGTATATTTAAAAATTAAAAAAATCAAAATTTGATTAAATTTATTATTTAAGGAAAAATTTGGGGTGAGAATGCTTGGTGAATCACCCTGTATACCTAATTAGTATTCACTAGGTAGCTACTTTGTTAGATATAACAAAATGTTTAATGTACCTAAGGGCATTTATTTCCCATAATAAACAAGATAAACGTTATATTATTAGGTATAAATAATTGTGTTCAATTGGAAAATTAATAATAATACTTCATTATTGAAGATGAAGATAAATGTCTTTGTTTTCATAGACCTTGTAGATCTGAGTTAAAAACATTGGTTTCAATGTTTTATAAAACGTATTCTGATGGATTTTGACGGTATTTTGTTTAAAAAAGAATATTACACTCAACATCCTGGAATTCTGATTAGTTGTAAAGAACCCAACACCGGTTGTTTAAAGATAAAATGGAAAAGATTAAAAGTAGTGAATTTAAGTAATATATTATGTAGGTAGGTATATAATAAACGAAATTATAATAATATAACAATATGAACATACGAAACTTACAAATCATCGTTATATACTTATATTACCAATGTTAGTCGGTGTTGCAATGTTATTTTACCTATCTCATACAGTTTAACGACCTTACGAATATCTATTTTATTGCAGAAATATAAACGAGATTTCTTGTACATTTTTTTTTAGTAGAATAAAAGTGAAACTAAAAATAAAATATATAGATAAATATTTCCATTATTTAACGAGTGGCATAAATTATATTTTCATAAAATTCTTCCAAAAGCTATTATCTAGTAAAATGTAATTGTTTATATTTAAATATTAGGTTACTATGAGTATATGTGACTTATCTTGCTGAATTCTCCACAGCGAAAAAAATGGTTATATGAACATGAAGGATACCAAATACAGATGGCCGCAGTGTAAAACAATATGGTCTGATCGAATTTATCGTACTCACTGGAATGCGCTACGAACTTAAGTGATTACATTTTTATATGTTTAGCCTGGTGCATTAATTTGTTTTTATTTTTGTTGTTATCTATAGTCTACGCGGTAAAACCTATGAATAATTATAATAAATAAAAATATAAATATTTTTTAAAAATTAAAATTATTTACAGTTATTCATTTTGAATTCCAAAAAAAAAAAAATCAATTTTGTCAAAAACTGGTTAGGAGTATAATTTATTTCTTTTATTCCCCGCTTATTACAAAAAGTAGGTAAGTACTCATTTTTACTTTTGACCACCCAATATACCAACAAGAACCAATTTTCTACCACTAACCATCCTCAAAGTTGAAAATATTGAGAAGCATGTTTACTGCTCCAAAAGCCAAAAGGTAATGACAGTCACATTAGTCACAAAAAATACAAAATATCACAGAAATTGTAAATAAATCTGTCCGCACAGTAACTAAGAAAAAAAATTCATAGAGAAGAATCGATATATTTGTTGATACTCAAAAGTCAAAAGTCGAAACAAACTGCAGAAATAACTGAAAATATTCATCCATATATAATTTATAATATATAAAGCATGTTACATAAATATATGCCGATATACGTAAGAACTAATTAAGTAAATTACGTAGGTATACGGTACTTTAAAAATTAAAACACAATAAATATCAATAATGTAATAATAAAGCACCCGTATTCGATGTATGATATACATTTTAAATATATATATAATAATAAGAACTAAATTTTTAAACTTCTTGAACAAAATTAATTAAAGAGATTAAACGTAATACTATATTTTACAACATTTGCAATTCCTATAAATGAAAATAACATAAATATCCGAATATCAAAACATATTAAGTGACTAAGCAAATAATAAGACTAAAAAAGTCAAAATATATCAATTTCCCATCAATAACTTCGATTTGGACTATCAAATAAATATAGTTTTCAACAGTCAAACGAACACTCATCAACAATAAACGATAAACCAAGTAGGGGAATAATGCAAACCTTAAGATACAGAAAACCTTAAAAATTCAAGGAAAATATAATATGAACTACAATTTATTATTCGAGTCATGCAAAATCTACGTATGACTAGTACGAGAGCCACAAGGTATATATTATTTTATACAGTAGTAAGCACACTTCCGGTTAGATGGGACATTTATTATATTTTTCTAGAGTTACCTACTGTTAGTTTGTTTTCAAATGAGAACACATAAAACATTTTTTAAATATGTATCAAATGTGTAAAATCCCAAAAAATACAAATCGTATACCTAGTTATAAAGACATAATGTAGGTAAGTACATAGTCTGTGATGAATAATTCATCATCGCTAACTTAAAATGTAGGTAGGTACTAACAGTAATTAATTATACAAACAAATATAAGACATTTACATTTTAAATATACTTATTGGTTTATAACCAACACAATAGGTACATGAAATATCATGATATTAAAAATAGTCTTCAATAGACCTACTCAATGTAGGTAGGTATACTTACCATATTGAAACAGAGGGTGCTTACTACTTTGACAGAACAGGTAATCGATGAAAACTGGTAGAAACACAAATAAATATTATACGCAAATATAACGCAGGTTGATCGTTTAATATTGAAACTATGGTTTTATAAACAAAAGATAAGATGTAGTACGTTTTGATGCTCCCTAGTCCCTAATATAATATTATGCTTTGCGATGTTTAGTAATTATTATAGCATTCTCCACCGACTGAACTATTGTCACTACTTTCCCACTGACCCGATACTAGTTTCCCCGTTACCGTATCCAATATGGTCCATATCAGTACTTTAGTACTTGGGTGGAACACAAAAATTATTATCTTGTAGCACTTAACTGAAACCGTCTTAAATAGCTCGTGCGCCAGTTTCACGCCGAGTGCAAAACACTCGTGAGGGTTTTTCAAGATGGAACACAGAAAAGTCAACTACCTAATAGTGTAAACACATTCTGGTAGGTATAACTCACCAATAGCATTCAGTGCACACAGCGGAGTGTAAATAATTGAAAAACGCTATTAGTTTAATCTATATTAATAAGTGACGTGTTTAAAAAAAATCACTGTGGGGGGGGGGGGGTTGTTGGATAATTTTCTTAACACAGTGCCTATGAGCTCAGCAAATATTTTCATAACACTTCCAAATGCCCTGCAAATAAATATTATAAATAAGAAGTCATGAAAAACGATTTCTTAAAATGACGCAATGTCGCAATACATTGACTAGACAAGACTTTTCTCGATATCAGTAGAAATCTTGTAAATTTATTAAATAATGACTATTTATTGGAAAAGTATTATAAATATAACTTTAATTTGTTGATTAAAATATACAGAGTGATTCACAGAGCATGCTCACTCCCTTTTTTCTTCAATAATGTAGTTAGTCAAAATAAGATTTTTTAAATTTTTAAATATAACTACTTAAAGACTATATTTTTAAATTCTTAAGATTTTTTATACTACTTATGGAGTGTCCTATGGAGATATACACAACTGTTTTTCAAACGAGAACCCATTTTTCTACTTTTCTGAAAATGTTGAGTATCAGAATAAAAATTCGTACGAATTTCCTATTTAACTTTATATACAAATGATTATGGATTTGTAAGATATGGGGACTATAGTAGTGTTTTGAATTTTGAACAGTTTATTAGTGATTAATATGAATCTATAAACATTAGTAATTTTTAAAAATGACCTAAGTATAATAAATACTTCCATTGATTAGAAATACTAGTATTTATAATCAATGATACTACCTATTTCCAATACTACATCTATTTGATATTTTTAAGGACTTTTATGCTTAGTAGAAATATTTTAATAGCTGAGAAGTTACTCATTCAAATTTTGAATTAGGTACCTACCTACATC